TTGAGAAGTCACAGCTGCGATGGCTTGGGCATGTGTTGCGAATGCCTCCAGAAAGGAAGGCTAAGCAAATCTTCCTTACAAATCCGACCGGCAAAAGGCCCAGGGGACGGCCAAGATTAACCTGGTGCAAACATATGAAAGGAATCTGTTCCAGGCTGCATTTGTCTTTTGCCGGAGCTCAGACTCTGGCACAGGATCGGGAAAGTTGGAAACACTGTCTGACGCGTCTGCCTCCGCGACCCGAAAGGAGAAGCGGCGATGGAAGATGAAGAAGATAATTTGCAAACGAGCGATTGTATTAGTTATTTGATTTGTACTATCATTTCAGTGGTAAGATCTCTGAACACTTTACGAAGTTTTGGTCAACCCTGTGGTGAATTTCAAAGATTTACTCTTATGAATGTATAAGGTCATTATGTTAACACGTAGTCATGTGGTCTCGCACGAATCTCTTAGGTCTGTTTGTCTCCTTCGACTAATTTCATCATGCTACAGACAGATAGCATCAAAAACAATTTTGAACAAAAATTTGAGACATGGTTGAAACCTTCAAAGGCCAAAATCATCTACCTGCTTCTCTTTGGCAAGGCGCCTGACGGCCGGTGTCAGAAGGGGTCTCGTCAGCAAACCTTCAGTTCCAAATGGTGCTGTTACTGGTTCCGCTTCTGTGGTAGTCTGTGACGACTGTGCGACTACTGCTGGTTTCTTTTGGCCTTCTGTAAGACAGCGATAAGACCTGTTGTCATTAAAAACAGCAGATCCACCAATTACCTTCCGCATTGGTTTCAATGTCCAGCAGCGACGAACCCACCTTCGCCACATCTTCCACGTCGTAGTAAAGCTTTTTGATGACTCCTTCGAAGCGACTCGTAATCGTCACCGCCGCTTTGTCACTTTGAACCTCGCAAAGTTTGTCGAACTGTTTCACATGGTCACCGACTTTGACATGCCTGTAAAGCATAACATTGTAGATTCAGGTACAGGCTTGATTCGCTCATGTTCTATTTATCAGAAAGACAGTTCTAGAGGAAAACAGGATACTAGAGGCTGGTCTTACCATAACGAGGAAGGTACTGTACCACTCCTAGATGATGGCATCGAAACGAAAATAGGCGCTTCAAATATGGCCTTCATAAATAGCGGTGCTGCATGTGAACTACATTGGAAATGTAAAGCGGACTACCATCTCAGTTAGAAATTGGTGTTTTCTTGATCTTCTGCCAGGTCTCGATTCTGGAGTCAAATTTTGTAATACCATTTTCCCAGAAGTGTTTTCCACTTCCCCACACTTCATTCACATAAGCTGACTAAAAGACCATAGCATATCTCTTACTCCATACTTGTACTAAAAGACCATAGCATATCTCTTACTTAAGACCATAGCATATTACTTACTTAGTTTTTTGACCAGGAGTATAGAATCGCATTTACATAAGACTTTATGCATAGTTTCCATGGCAGTCGGATTTCATGGCAATCTTCGTTCATCCATATCCAGAGAATATTACAGGTCTCGAAGGGACTCAGCTAGTGTATCTGTTTCTTTTTTCCCTCAAATTAAAGCCAACTAGAACAAAGCTG